TTTCACATGGAATCAGAGCAGGTTCCCTCCTAGGGACTGCTTCTAGGGCCCACCGAAGCGCGCCCCGAGGCGCATTTTCCTTTTTTTTAGCGACCCGTCGTGTCGCCCTTAGCGGCCCGTCGCGTCGCCCTTCCTTAGCGGCCCCGCCGCCCTTCGATCGCGGCCCCGCCCCCCCCCTTCGATCGCGGCTCCGCCGCCCTTCCTTAGCGGCCCCGCCGCCCTTCGATCGCGGCCCCGCCGCCCTCTGCTACGCGGCCCCGCCGCCCTCTGCTAAGCGGCCCCGCCGCCCTTCGATCGCGGCCCCGCCGCTCTCTGCTAAGCGGCCCCGCCGCTCTCTGCTAAGCGGCCCCGCCGCCCTTCGATCGCGGCCCCGCCACCCTCTGCTAAGCGGCCCCGCCGCCCTCTGCTAAGCGGCCACGCCGCCTTGCTTACGCAGCCCCGCCGCCCTCTATTACGCAGCCCCGCCGCCCTCTTCTACGCGGCCCCGCCGCCCTTCCTTCGCGGCCCCGCCGCTCTGCTCTCGCGGCCCCGCCGCCCTCTGCTTAGCGGCCCCGCCGCCCTTCCTTCGCGGCCCCGTAGCCCTTCCTGCACGGCCCCGCCGCCCTACCTGCGGCCCCGCCGCCGCCCTACCTACACGGCCCAGCATCAGCCGAGCCGCCTAGCCGCAACCGAGCGGCCCAGCATCAGCCGAGCCGCCCAACCGCAGTCGAGCGGCCCAGCATCAGCCGAGCCGCCCAACCGCAGCCGAGCGGCCCAGCATCAGCCGAGCCGCCCAGTCGCAGCCGAGCCGCCCGGCAGAAGCCGAACCGCCCGGGAGCCGCTGAGCAGCCCAGCAGCAGCCGAGCCGCCCAGCAGCAGCCGGGCCGCCCTGGAGCCGCCGAGCCGCCGGGCATCCTTCCTGGGGCAGCCGAGCCGCCCAGGAGCAGCCGAGCCGCCCCGAAGCTGCCGAGCCGCCCAGCAACCGCCGAGCCGCCCGACCTGCCCTGCCCGGTGAGCACCGTACCGCTGTCACTGCGTGCCCTTCCCCTACTGCTTGCACTGCTCCACTGTCGTCGTCATGGCTACACCAAGTGTCCTCGCTTTTGACGCTGAGGGTCGAGCCATTGACTTTGAGGTCTGGCTCGACGACCTGCAGCTGTTTTTACAGTGCGATAGGGCGGACGGTCTGTCTCTCTTTGACCTCACCTCTGGCGCCGTCCCTTCCCCTGCTGCTGATGCTGACGCCACTGTTCGCTCACAATGGGCCACGCGCGATGCTGTTGCACGTCTTGCTGTGCGTCGCCACTTGCCTACCGCTGAGCGCGCGCACTTTAGCCAGTACAAGAGTGCCCAGACCTTGTACGACGCTGTAGTTGCGCGCTACTCCTCCCCTGCCACTGCTGCACTGAGCCGCCTCATGCTCCCCTTCCTCTTCCCTGACCTTGCCGCCTTTCCCACTGTCGCTGATCTCATCACGCACCTCCGCACTAGTAACACTCGCTACCGCGCTGCGCTTCCTGCTGACTTCTGCGCCAAGGACCCCCCCCCCATGTACATCACTCTCTACTTCTTAGTCACTTGCCTCCCTAACTCCCTTCGTGTAGTCCGAGACCACTTCCTCGCGGTCTGTCCCACCACCCTCACAATCGACAGCCTCGAGAAGGCCCTCCTTGCAGCGGAGAAGAGCATAGTCGCTGTAGGAGCCTCTCGAGGTGACCCCCGCGCCCCCATCTTTGAGGGGTGTTCTCCTTCCCCTCTCCCACCCTCTGTCGCCTCTGCCGCTGCGGCCGACCTCGTTGGTCTTGAGTCGGTCGGTGCGGCGTCTGCCCCTAGCGGGAGATGCCGCTCTGGCAAGGGCAAGGGGGGCAAGGGAGCGGGTGGGGCCAGTGGGGGCGGTGGAGGTGGAGGTGGAGGCGGCGGAGGGAGTGGGGGTGGCGGTGGAGGTGGTAGCGGGGGTGGGGGTACTAGTGGCGGCAGTGGAGGCGGGGGTGGCGGCGGCGGTGGCGGTGGTAGCAGAGGTGGCGGAGGTGGCGGCGGTGGAGGCGGAGGTTGGGGCATTGGAGGCGGAGGCGGGGGTGGCGGAGGTGGAGGTGGTCGGAGTGGAGCTTCGCAGCGGAGCAGCACTGGGGGCGGTCAGCGCCAGCAGCAGCAGCAGCGTTCTCGCGACGTCCCTACCCCTCAGCAGCTCCGTGAGTGGTACACGCAGCGTCAGCGCAGTGGGGTTTTGGGTCCCTGCACCTACGTTCTCCGCACTGGCGACTGCGCTGGAGAGCAGTGTGGGGGTACCCACACCGCCCAGCGCTGCTTTGGCCGCCTGACGGACGCTTTGCGCCAGCAGTTCCCAGAGGCCGCGGAGATCCCCCGCTGGGGAGAGCTGTCTAGGGCTGGTGTAGCTATCTTTGATCTTGATTTTGATGCTATCCTTGCTGCCATGTATGCTGTGACCATTAGTGATGAGGGTGACTGTTACCGGTGTTTCCCACCCGACCCGAGCATTGGTACTACTGCTCTAGGTGCTGGTGAGGCTTCTGCTCTAGGTGCCAGTGCGTCTGTGCTCTCAGGTGCTGGTGAGGCTGCTCTCTCAGGTACTGCGTCGACTTCGGCCTCCCACACCTTCACCCTTGACTCTGGAGCGTCTCGCTCTTTCTTTCGGGACCGCACCACACTCACGCCGCTTAGTCGGCCGGTTGCGGTTTCCCTGGGTGACCCCTCTGGGGGTCGTGTCCTGTCTCGCTTCTCCACAGTCCTCCCGTGTCCGGCGGCTCCCTCTGGCACCCTGTCTGGTCTCTACCTCCCCTCGTTCTCTACGAACTTGGTGAGTGGTTCTGCTCCACAGGATGCGGGAGTCCACCAGTTCACCCCTGCTCGTCAGCGAGTGACGCACTGCACAGAGGCTAGCACGGGTCGTCACCTGGCTACGTTTACACGTCAGCCAGGGTCGAGCCTGTACACACTGACCACTGCTTCTCCTCCAGTTCCTGAGTCTGGTAGGGTCCCTTCGTCAGGTCAGGTGTTTGCTGCAGCGTCCAGGTCTGGCCCTGAGTCTGCCCCCTGTTCGTGTCGTCGCCTGTCTCACGAGACTCTCCTCTGGCACCACCGCCTTGGTCACCCCTCCCTGCTTCGGCTCAGAGGCATGGCCTCCCGTCTTCTTGTGTTTGGTCTTCCTCGGTCTCTCCCTCCCCTTCCTCAGGGCCCTGGCCCTACCTGTGTCCCCTGTGTCGAGGGGCGCCAGCGTGCTGCCACTCACTCCTCCCAGTTTCCTCCGACAGAGGCTCCGTTGCAGACGCTTCACATGGACGTGTGGGGCCCTGCCCGCGTCGGTGGACTCGGTCACGAGCGCTACTTCCTGTTGGTGGTTGACGATTACTCGCGTTACACCACAGTCTTCCCCTTGCGCAGCAAGGGTGATGTCACTGAGGTGTTGATCGACTGGATCCGCGCAGCTCGTCTCCAGCTCAGGCAGAGCTTTGGCTCGGACTTTCCTGTGTTGCGTCTGCACTCGGACAGAGGCGGAGAGTTCTCCTCTGGCCTTCTGCGTGCCTTCTGTCGTGCGCGAGGCATCCGCCAGACCTTCACGCTTCCGGACTCCCCGCAGCAAAATGGGATTGCAGAGCGCCGCATTGGCATGGTCATGGACGTCGCTCGTACGTCTATGATGCATGCGGCTGCCCCCCATTTTTTGTGGCCGTTTGCGGTCAGGTACGCGGCGCATCAGATCAACCTCCACCCCAGGGTCTCCAGGCCGGAGACCTCCCCAGCCCTGCTGTGGACGGGGAAGGTTGGCGATGCGTCGGCGTTCCGGGTCTGGGGATCTCGGGCGTTTGTCCGCGACTTGTCTGCGTACAAGCTGTCCCCTCGCGCTGCTCCCTGCGTTTTCCTGGGGTTCCCCCCCGACGCCCCTGGGTGGCAGTTCTACCACCCCACCTCTCGATGTGTTCTGTCCTCCCAGGACGTCACGTTCGACGAGTCGGTACCCTACTACCGCCTCTTCCCCTACCGCACTCCGTCCCTTCCCCCACCCCCGCTCTTCTTGGTACCAGGTCCCCCCCCGGTAGACCCCCTCCCCCCTCAGGGTCCTGCCCCTTCAGGTGTGTCCCAGGTAGACGCGGTCGAGCCTGTCGAGGTCACTGGTGACTCTGGTGCTGCTGCGGGAGCTGAGCCTGGGGGTGCTGGGACTGGAGGTGCTCCGCTTGGGGGTGCTGAGCCTGGGGGTGCGGAGTCTGGAGGTGCTGAGCCTGGGGTTGCTGAGCCTGGGGGTGCTGAGCCTGGGGGTACTTGTGAGAATAGTAGGTGTGGGGCCTAGGCTTAGTAGCCTAGGCCCACACTAGGAGGTAGGTGGGCTTGTTCTAGAACTAGGAGTTAGGGTTTACGAAGGAGAATTGGAAGGAAGAATGAGGATCGACTAGGAAGCAGCAGGACACACAAATAGCAAACCCTAAGGGGTTATACTCACTATTGAGCACCCCACTGCAGGCTAGACAAATAATATTCTGACACACCCCCATAGCCAAAGTGGGGTGCAATCAGCAGAGCAAGCAAAGTAGAACAAGCTCAGGGTGGATCACAATGTCACCACACATTCTGAGCACAAGTTCAAGAGGCAATAGCTTAAAGTTAAGAATTATGAGCAAAGCTAGTGGTAGTCACAACGGGCAAGTGAGGAGGAGGAGAGAGAGTGAGAGGAGAGGAGATAGGAGGAGACGGCTGAAGCTGCAGACACTCGGGCAACAGGAGGCAGACTGGCACAGCGGCTACCGGACTAAGCGCCCGGACTACAGGAGTAATAGGCCCCGCGGCTAGAGTAGCGGCAGACGAGCAACGGACCCACGGGCGGCTGGCGTAGAAGTCTAGCTCACTGGGCTACCGGGACAGCGCCCCGGACTACAGGTGCTGCGGACAACAGTACGGCAACTTCCATGCAACTTCCCGAAACAGTCCCACCCCCCCGACACACACCCGCTGCTACACCGCTAGCTCCACTCCCACGCACCCCCCTTAAACCCTAAACCCCAGTCTCCCACTCAACCACCCCCCTCAGCGACAGCTGCAAGAGTGGGAGACGAAGGAGGAGGAGGAGCAAAGGGAGGAATGCACACCAGCCACCCCCATACCCGCAAACGGGGGGGGGGGGGGGAGAGCAGAAACAGTGCGCACGAGGGCGCAGACAGTAGCAGAGCGCACGAGGGCGCAAGCATGAGGCACGAGCAGCACCAGGCACATGCAGCACAGGGCAGCACAGGCACGGGCAGCAACAGGCACAGGCAGCACAGGCACGGGCAGCACAGGCACGGGCAGCACAGGCACAGGCAGCAACAGGCACAGGCAGCACAGGGCAGCACATGCACGGGCAGCAACAGGCACAGGCAGCACAAGCACGGGCAGCACAGGCACGGGTAGCACAGGCACAGGCAGCATAGGCACAGGCAGCAACAGGCATAGGCAGCACAGGGCAGCACAGGCACGGGCAGCAACAGGCACAGGCAGCACAGGCACGGGCAGCACAGGCACGGGCAGCACAGGCACGGGCAGCACAGGCACAGGTAGCAACAGGCACAGGCACCACAGGGCAACACAGGCACGGGCAGCAACAAGCACAGGCAGCACAGGCACGGGCAGCACAGGCACGGGCAGCACAGGCACGGGCAGCACAAGTACAGGCAGCAACAGGCACAGGCAGCACAGGGCAGCACAGGCACGGGCAGCAACAGACACAGGCAGCACAGGCACAGGCAGCACAAGGCAGCACAGGCAGGGCAGCACAGGGCAGCACAGGCACGGGCAGCACAGGCAGGGCAGCACAGAGCGTATCGGGTCCAGGGGCGGCAGCTGCTGCAGGCGCTGGCGGCGGCTGCTGCTGCAGGCTCTGGCGGCGGCTGCTGCTGCTGGGCGGCGGTGGCTGCTGCGGCAGAGCGGCGGCGGCTGCTGCTGCTGGTAGAGCGGCGGGTGCTGCTGCTGGGCCGGTGGCGGCAGCTGCTGCAGGCCTGGCAGCGGCTGCTGCTGCAGGTTCGGCGGCGGCAGCTGATGCAGGCTCTCGCGGCGGCTGCTGCTGAAGACTTTGGCGGCGGCTGCTGCTGCAGGCTCTGGCGGCGGCTGCCGCTGCAGGCTCTGGCGGGGGCTGCTGCTGCAGGCCTAGCGGTGGCTGCTGCTGCAGGGCGGCGGCGTCTGCTGCTGCAGGGCGGCGGCGGCTGCTGCTGCAGGATCTGACGGCACCCCGCGGGTCCCGCAGGGGGCGTCGCGACGAGCAGGGGCGACGCCCCGCGGGTCCCACAGGGGGCGTCGCGACGAGCAGGGGCGACGCCCCGCGGGTCCCGCACAGACGTCGCGACGAGCTGGGCGACGCCGCGCGGGTCCCGCAGGGGGCGTCGCGACGAGCACGGGCGACGCCCCGCGGGTCCCGCACGGACGTCGCGACGAGCAGGGCGACGCCGCGCGGGTCCCGCAGGGGGCGCCGTGACGAGTAGCGGGGAGGGCAGCGCGCAGGCCCCCCCGAGGGCGCTCCGACGGACGGGAAAACCGCCGCGCGCCCCGAGCGCGCGGCGGGCAGAAAAAGCCGCCACGTGTTCGAAGCGCGTGGCGGGATAAAAATGCAATGCCGCGCACCACGGGGCGCGCGGCGGATAATACGGCAGCGGAAGTAGGTGGTGGGCCCGATGAACTAGGCGGCAGGATCTTGGCGGCTCTAGATACCATGTGAGAATAGTAGGTGTGGGGCCTAGGCTTAGTAGCCTAGGCCCACACTAGGAGGTAGGTGGGCTTGTTCTAGAACTAGGAGTTAGGGTTTACGAAGGAGAATTGGAAGGAAGAATGAGGATCGACTAGCAAGCAGCAGGACACACAAATAGCAAACCCTAAGGGGTTATACTCACTATTGAGCACCCCACTGCAGGCTACAGGCTAAACCCTAAACCCTTGACTCTGGTGCTGCTGCGGGAGCTGAGCCTGGGGGTGCTGGGACTGGAGGTGCTCCGCATGGGGGTGCTGAGCCTGGGGGTGCGGAGTCTGGAGGTGCTGAGCCTGGGGGTGCTCAGCCTGGGGGTGCTGAGCCTGGGGGTACTGAGTCTGGGGGTGCCGAGCCTGGGGGTGCTGTGCCTGGGGGTGCTGAGCCTGGGGGTGCTGAGACTGGAGGTTCTCCGCCTGGAGGTGCTTCGTCTCGCCGGGAGCCACTCTCCCCACAGGAGCTACGTGAGTGGTTTGCTTAACGCTGGAGGCGTGGTGCTGGTGCTGGAGGTTCTTCGGCTGCAAAGGGTGCTACTGCCTCGCGTCCCGGAGGTGCTCGTGCTGTGGATGCTGGAGCTGCTGGGCCTGAGGGTTCTCCTAGAGCTGGTGTTGCTGAGGGTGTTGGCGCTGAGACTAATGCTGGCGGTCCGACTGACAGTGCTCCTGGTGCTGCTGGGGGTTCTGGAGCTACTGGAGGTGCTGCTGGAGCGGGTACTCCTGCTTGGGGTACTGGTGCTGTCCCTGCTGTCTCTGGCATCGCCACGCGGCCCCGACCGTACTTCGTTCCGCTCCTGCAGCAGGTTCTTGGTCTTCCACCTTCTCCTGGTCCTCCTCCTCCTCCCTTAGAGGGTACACAGCTTGTCCAGTCCCAGTCACAGCTACAGCCTGCCTCCCCTTTGCCTGCTCCTTCTCCCTACACTGGTCCGACTGAAGGTCTTGCTGAGTGTCGTGAGCCTGCGTCTCGTCCTGCGTCGCCTGTTCGTCCTGCACGCACTAGTGGCCGCGGTTCACGTCAGCGTCCCCCTCCTGTCCCTGGCACGCACCGGATGTCTTTGCGTCCGTCCACTGCTCCTCTGCGTGCCCCTTTGCCTTCTCCTCCTGCTTCCTCTCTTCCTGCTCTTGCCGACCCGGAGTCGGACTCTCTTCGTGCTGCCAGTCCTACTGTCACGCGTCTCTTTGCTAATGCTGTCCCTTACCCTTCTTTCGAGTCTTCTGCTATGTCTGCCCTTGTCACTGAGCTCGTCGACTTTGCTGCGCGCTGTCGTGTAGACTACGCTGCTACTCTTGTCGCTGAGTCTGAGTCTGCCTGTCCTCCGTCCGTCGGGGGTGAGTGTGCCCTTGGCACGGACGTCCTTGAGGACAGGCAGGAGGAGTTCCTGTGTCTGGCCGCAGCTTCACCTCATCTCGCGTCTGTACTGCTAGCCCCTGAGGGAGACCCGGATGCACTAGACATCCCGACTCCGCGCTCTTACGCGGAGGCGATAGAGGGTCCCTACTCCTCTCAGTGGCAGGCAGCTATGGATGCAGAGATGGCTTCCTGGAAGTCCACAGGCACCTACGTTGACGCTGTTCCCCCTCCTGGGGCGAACATCGTCAGTGGCATGTGGATTTTCAGGGTGAAGCGGCCGCCGGGTTCTCCGCCTGTCTTCAAGGCGCGTTACGTGGCTCGTGGCTTCAGCCAGCGGCAGGGAGTTGACTACTTTCAGACCTTCTCCCCCACCTCGAAGATGACCACTCTTCGGGTACTGCTGCACGTTGCTGCTCACCGTGACTACGAGCTGCACTCTCTCGACTTCAGCACCGCTTTCTTGCAGGGCAGCTTGCACGAGGAGATCTGGCTGCGTCGCCCACCTGGCTTCAGTGGGTCTTTCCCTCCTGGTACCCAGTGGAGTCTCCGGCGTCCAGTCTACGGTCTCCGCCAGGCGCCACGTGAGTGGCACGACACACTGAGGACTACGCTGGCGGCACTTGGGTTTGCTCCTTCTACTGCCGACCCGTCGCTGTTTCTGCGCACCGACACCTCTCTGCCGCCGTTCTACATCCTCGTGTACGTCGACGACTTGGTCTTTGCCACAGCGGACACTGCTGGACTCGCCTACGTGAAGTCCGAGCTGCAAAAGAGACACACGTGCACTGACCTGGGTGAACTGCGCAGCTACCTTGGCTTGCAGATCACCCGGGACAGAGCACAGCGCACCATTACCCTGACCCAGTCACACATGGTGCAGCAGGTTCTTCAGCGCTTCGGCTTCACGTACTCCTCGCCTCAGGCCACTCCTCTGCCTACTCGCCACTCGCTCTCAGCACTGCCTTCGGATGAGTCCGTAGAGTCGAGTGGTCCGTATGCAGAGCTTGTTGGCTGCCTCATGTACCTGATGACCTGCACATGACCTGACCTTGCATACCCTCTTAGCATTCTCGCACGCTATGTTGCTCCTGGGAGACACCGACCAGAGCAGATGGCTGCAGCGAAGAGGGTGTTGCGCTACTTGTGCAGTACGTCGAGCATGTCAAAGCTTGAGCTAGGCTAAGGAGCCATAGCTAGTTAGAACTAGAGTTTGAGTATCGAGCAGGTAGAGTTGAAGTGAAAAGTATCGAGAGAATGGGGGTTTCACTATAGGTTCAAGGGTACAAATAGGAAAGAATGAAGAAAGGCAAATGGTACACCACCTAGCAGGAAACTAAGATAACTACACTGGCCTACTGTAGGCATTTATATGAAAGTATACATTTCAACAAGGCATGGGGCTAGTGCTTGGAGGGCGTAGTCCAGTGGTCCTCACTGGGCACGCGGACGCTTCTTGGGCTGACGACCAGGCTACGCAGCGGTCGTCACAGGGTTACACCTTCAGCCTTGGTTTCGGCTCTGTTTCGTGGCGGGCTACCCGCTCGTCTTCTGTTCTCGGCTCCAGTTGTGAGGCTGAGATCTACGCCGGGGCTATGGCTGGTCAGGAGCTTCGCTGGCTCACCTACCTGCTGACCGACCTTGGAGAGCCGCCTAGTTCTCCTCCAGTCCTGTACGTAGGCAACAAGGCCATGCTGGCCTTGTGTCGAGAGCAGCGATTGGAGCACAGGACAAAGCACATTGCTCTCCGCTACTTTCTTGCTCGTGAGCTACAGCAGCGTGGACAGTTGCGACTTGCGTACGTGGCCTCTGAGGCCAACACTGCTGATGTCTTCACCAAGGCACTTGCGCCTTGTGATCATCAGCGTTGTTGCACGCAGCTGGGTCTTGTGCCTGTCTTGCCTCACTTGCTCACTTCTTGACTTTGCTTGTACCTTCACCTATATATACTCTAGCTCTTGCTTGCTTGACTCTTGTATATATTTATATATGATCTTGCATGTGAACTGGCCTTGTGGCCCTTGAACTTGTGCTCGGAATGTGTGGTGACTTTGTGATCCACCCTGAGCTTTGCTTTGCTTTGCTTGACTGGTCTTGTGACCCCTTGTTCTCCCCCACTTTGCCTATGGGGGTGTGTCAGAATATTATAGCTTACTTATTTGTGTAGGCTATAGTGGGGTATCCCATAGGGGGTGCAACCCAACTAGGGTTTCCTATTTGTACTCACTTCGTTCATAGTCATTTCATTCTCGTTCTTTCTTTTACACGATGAATTCTGCTTCTGCTGACGAAAGAGCGATGAGTTACTGCCTGCTTCTGAGAATTCCAGGAGATGAGTCCCGCTGGTTGGAGT